AGGAATAAGAGAATATTCTTATCACTGGAGACAAGGAGTCAAAACAGACCTTACTTAACCCTTACCTTTCATTAATTTCCCCATATATTTCCCAGTCACTTTCCCACAACTTACTGCTCCTAGCTCAAATCCCTTTTTCCTTTTCTTGTGACATCTCCACAATTGATTGCTCTTTGTTAAAATGGTATGTAATCCTCTGGGTGTAACCGCCTCTTTGGGATCTTCCTGTCTTTCTAGGAAGCCCTTGTGCCACATAAAAATATTAACATCAAATAAAATTATTATGCTTTTTCTCCTGTTAATCTGTCTTTTGTCAGTTCAATTCACAGGCTCCAGTCTGAGAACCAAAGAGGGTAGAGGAAAAGTCTTTCTTCCCCTATAAATTCAAGCTAAACATGAGGAGAGCCCTGTTTCCTCTCAAGGTGTGAGAGGAGCATCACCATCACTTGCTCTGTCTAGCTTGGTGGCCTCACAAGTATCATTAACCACAAAGACGGAAGCATAAGCAGCACGACAAGAAGGCAAGAGTAGAGGAACAGATGGCTTTGTTCTGGTGCACTCATGAAGCACACAACAATAACCCTCAGAGAGAGATGGGCTTGACTTTGGGCCCTTATGGCTCTGAACCTTGGGCTATAATAATTTGATTAAAAAAAACAGGACAGGCATGGTGGCTCTCACCTGTAATCCCAGCATTTTGGGAGGCTTGGGCAGGTGGATCACCTGAGGTCAGAAGTTCAAGACCAGCCTGGCCAACATAGTGAAACCCCATCTGTACTAAAAATACAAAAATTAGCTGGGCATGGTGGCACACACCTGTAATCCCAGCTACTCAGGAGGCTGAGACAGGAGAATCACTTGAACCTGGGAGGCAAGGTTTCAGTGAGCTGAGATTGAACAAATGCACTCCAGCCGGGGTGACAGAGCAAGACTTCGTCTGAAAAAATAACAATAATAAAATAAAATAAACATACATTGGGAAATATAACAATAAAGAGTAAAATTGGCCATACAATATTTAAAATATTCACGTTAAATTTTAGATGCAAATAAACTTAACCATCTGGAGGCAGGAATGTACGAAAGTAGGCTTGAACAAAAAGCAGAACTACAACTAAACGTACAGAGGGGAAAAATATAGGTCATTTTACTACCAACTGGTGCCCATAAGATATAATATAAATTATTGTTTTAATTCCCTAATGAAATTATTTTAAAAACATCTAGCTTTTTGCTAAACTTAGATCACAAAAGCATATTCTGGTTTGCACGTCCTTGAAAGAAAGTACATTAGTTGGCTGGGCGCAGGGGCTCACGCCTGTAATCCCAGCACTTTGGGAGGCCGAGGCGGGTGGATCACAAGGTCAGGAGATCAAGACCATGCTGTGAATGGTAAAACCCCATCTCTACTAAAAATACAGAAAATTAGCCAGGCTTGGCGCCGTGGCCTGTAGTCCCAGCTGCTGGGGATGCTGAGACAGGAGAATGGCATGAACCCGGGAGGCGGAGCTTGCAGTGAGCCAAGATCACACCACTGCACTCCAGCCTGGGTGACAGAGTGAGACTCCGTCTCAAAAAAAAAAAAAAAAAAAGAAAGTACATTAGCCTTTGAGTTATCACCAGGAAAGAGCTTGAAGAGCCAAATAAGGTATCCTAGAACCCCAAATCACTCCCAGATTATAAATACATGGCAAAAAGGAAGGGAATGTATGGGCCTTACCAGACAGGAAATTGGGTAGTTCTATGGGGTCACCCATAGGGAGACAGCTGACCACAAGGGATGAACTGCATGCAAATGTAGTAGAATAAAAGACAGCACAACAACACAAACAATGATTTGGGATTTGTATGTAATATATGTTAATACCTAATATAAGGATGCTTGAACTTTTGAAAATTTCTGGGGTCCACGGTCTGTTGTTTCCTCACTGACATGGATGCTGATCAGTAGAAATAAAAGGCACATTTCTGGTGCCTTTTCTCATGTTCTCTTCTCCCTCTTCATATCTCTGCAAGAACTGTTTCTCAGCATGGGTGATGGCAGTTTAATCCCTTAATGGCATTGTGAGTCAACTGGGATTGCAGAAATCACGGTGTCCATCACCCAGCCAAACTTCTCTCTGTAATTTTTGTTTGCCAAGAAGATGTGAGACTACTTGGAAAAAAGGAAGAGCAGATTATTAACAAAAATTAAGTGTAACTCAATATTATTGGCTCAAGCCAAAAACTCTGTTACAAAACTAAATTGGAAATCATAGTTTTGAAATAGAGTAATGGAGTATTAAATAAAGAAGTACCTTGTTGATAAGCTAGTTCAACTCCATCATTTTGCAGATAAGTAAATTGAGACTGAGAGACTGTCCCAGTGACACACAACCAGTGAGTGGCAAAGCTAGGATTAAAATTCAAGTCAGTGCTTTTCTTGGGCAATTGGGAAAACATTTAGATAAACAGCCTGCTAGGGGTTGTAATACATGAATTTATTACATAGTTTGAGGAACTAGAGATTTTCAACCTAGAAAGGGAAAGATTCAGGGACATGGTAGCTATTTTCAAATACTTGAAGGTAGAAAAGGCCTTGAACTTACTCTGTTAGCCAAAGGAGACTTTAGCAGTTCAATATAAGATAAAACCTTTTAAACAGTCAAAATTGGCCAAAACCATTGGGGGGTGAGGGACGATGAGTTTTCTGTCACCTGAAGCATTTCAGAATAGACTGAAAAATAATTCAGAGAGTATGTTTTTGTCTACAGAGAGGGGTAATTTAAGGGGTGTATAGGAGAGAATTCAGGCATGAAAATCATTTGGATGGGGTGACCTGTAAGAGAATGTGATTCTTTATATCCAAATTCTGGATATATCCAAATAAGAGTTTCATTCTTGCCTCTAAACTCTAAAACCTATCTTCTCATCTGTTTGCAATAGTTTAAATTTTAATCTATTTCATATTTCAGGGTAGTATGCCCTGAATATGTGATTTGAATGCTGTGGCAGAAGGTCACTCATATTCATTCATTTTTATTTTACTCTTATATACTTGCAGTGAGTCTTTTGAATTCATTATGCAAACACATGCAAATCATATGCAAATGATATAGCCTCAGAAAATGACAAAATCTGATGGCCTTAACTGAGCCACCAGACCTTTCTTTAAGAAGGAAAGTAATATGCCTTTCAACATCTCTGGGGCAGGAGATAATTTCCTGAGAGTGATATTTACATGACATCAGAATTCATTACTCAATCTTTGCCTCACATTCTGCATGTTTATGTGGGACTTTAAGGTAAGGAAAGCATTTTCACATACATGATCCTATTTGATCCTCATAATTACCCTGTGATGTAAGCAGAACAGGAATTATAATTCTTGTTTTTCAGATGGGAAAACAGACTTAGAGAAGTGAAATGATTTGCCCAAGGTCACTCAGTTGGTAAGCAAGGATCTGTGGTCTAGCACTAGACCCTTCCCAGTCCTTAGCTCTTCCCATTGCACACTGATGGATGTCTTATTTGAAGCAAGGTGGTCTGTCATTGGTCTGGGTTTGCTTAAGACTGTGTCTTGCTGATAGCATCTTCAGAGATGATTTTGTTGATGAAGATGGCATTTTAAGGGTGACCAGGGAAAGCCCAAATATGCGTAGCAGGCCTAGCAGAGTGCCAAGTACATATTTCCTCCAATCCCCTCTGCTTTTTAGCATCTTCTCTGAAATCTCCAGATGAACAACATTCTTCACCTCATCTACTCTTCAGCTCCTTCAGGAGGCAAAGTCCTTTCTTAAACCATGAAGAGTGGTAGCACAATCTCTGCAGTGAGATTTTCTGGATCTGAAGCCCTAATCCACCACTCTCTAATTGTGTGACTTGGAGAGATCATTTAATTTCTCTTAAGCATCAGTTTCTATATCTATAAAATGAGGGAAACAATAACATCTCTTTTATAGAACATGTGGAAACAGTCAAGGATAGGAAAATGCAGCAAAAAAAAAAAAAAAAAAAATTAAACCTGAGCCAGTATATGACACACAGTAAGGGCTCAATAAATGGCAGATACTATAGTCATTTGCTTCATCATAGTAATACAGTAGAGGTGGTGGTAGTGGTAGTAATAGTAGTAGTAGTAGTAGTCAAGTCATTGTGAACTCTGATACTAAGAACTGGGCTCTTGGAAATGGAGTGGGAGAACAGCAACACCAAATATATCCTGCATACCAGAGGGCTGAAGAACAGACAGAACAGGTAGCTAAATGCAGCCTATTGAGGAATGTTTGAACTTTGGCTTTCTTTAATCATTGCCACATCTTGCTCCATAATAAGAGTAATTGCAATCCTGCTCCAAAGCTATTTCTAAGAATAGTGCCAAGGCTGGCATCCCTAACTCTCCCCTCCTTTAGCCAGGCTGCTCTATCTATGGCAGTGTCCCCTACTTCCCCAGACCAGGTTAGGAGGGAACAAGAGAGGAGTTCACCCCAACTGCTTTAACAAGTCTGAACCGCCAGGTCAAGAGATGAAGTAATCTTCCTCCTATACGAAGACCAGAGGTGGGGATGGACGAGGTGGCCAAGGCAGCAGCTGAGGCTCAAGGAACAGATATACTCTCAAGCCTGCTCCCTCCTGCTCCAGTTCCCAGCTCAGCAGGTGCCACTGAAGGGCTCATTTCTTCAACCTGCCCCCACAGAGTGCTCTGCCTTTCCATGTTCTCTGACACCTCTTATTCACTCACCCAGGACAACTGAGAAAGTGGCCTCCTTGGTGAGAAGAGCTTCCACAGCCTCTCTCGGGGAAAAGGACCAGAAGCTGTTGGAGTTGGCCAAATACTTGAAGTTGGCATAAAGTCAATTGGAACCATCACAACGAAAGTCTGTGTGATCAGCCCAAAAGGACTGCACAACTGATTCATGTTCAGTGCCAGGAAATGCAATGGGCCATTCTGGGGCTGGGTCCTCATTTATTTTTGGCAAAGATGGGTGGTATGCAAAAGGGACTTCCTTTTTTTTTTCAGCACAGAGTCACAGAATGCTGAGCAGTCAACAGCATTTCTTGTTCCAAGATCACCCTTCTGAGTACCTCTCTGGCTGCCAAATTGCCAGGGCCTTCATAGTTTGATTCCATTTCTCAGCTCCAAGCATTGGGTAAACCCACCAAGCTAGGATTGCACCAGTCCTGTGATGGCGTTTGACGTCAGCTCCTTCTTTTGGGTGGTGCTGTTTTCTGCCGGCTGTAAAGTCATCACCTCCTTGGATCAGATGTGCATTGAGGTGAGTCCAAACTGTTTGTCTTCATGCAGATTAAACTGAAAATTTTGAGATTTAGCATGCAGTTCAATCTGAACCTTGGCATCCCAATATCCAGGGTCTTTAAAAAGGAAATGAGGTATATATATAATTTTTTCATTATTGTGAGAAAGGTGCCAAAGAACTCAGCCAGGGGATCATCTGGTGGCATCTTAATAGGAAGCAATGAGAATTTTTCTCCTCTTCAAACAATTCCACCCAAATAATCCCAAGTGGGTCATAAGATATTAATAGGGTCTCTGTGCACAAAGCAGACCCTAAACCTGCCTCAGCCTTGGGGAGTTGTTGGTTTAACATCCCCACGCTCACATGGCCATTATCCCAATGAGTCCTTTGGTCTCCTGGCTCTCAGGGTGAGAATTAGTAAAGACAGGCCTGTGCCAGGTTTTTGAGCATTGAAAAGATCACTCTGAATGAGTCTGGCTTTCTCCTCGACTTGGACAGCCCTCCATCTGTTTTACTAACCCACAGGAGGAAAATCTGAGAATAGAGCCAAATTGCACCTTCTGTTTTGGACCACAGCAATATTTATCAACCTGTGGGAAGTTCTTGGAGGGGGTGGTGAGAGAGAAAGGAGAAGGACCTCTGTCTCTTGCCATCCTCTGAAATTCTTCAAACTTCCTCCCGCTTTCTCTGACCCCACAAGTGTCCAATACCACATGGTCTGTCAGACAAGGGCTACATACAGGAGGGACCGTGAGTCTTGGTGGCTTGGTGAGCTGCTGGTCTGGGTTGAGGTTAAAAGAAGAGTAAGAGCCATGGTCGGGCGTGGTGGCTCAGCCCTGTAATCCCAGCACTTTGGGAGTCCGAGTGGGGTGGATCACGAGGTCAAGAGATCAAGACCATCCTGGCTAACACGGTGAAACTCCGTCTCTACTAAAAACACAAAAAATTAGCCGGGTGTGGTGGCGGGCGCCTGTGGCTTGCAGTGAGCTGAGATCGCGCCACAGCACTCCAGCTTGGGCGACAGAGTGAGATTCCGTCTAAAAAAAAAGAAGAAGAAGAAGAACAAGAGAGCCAGGAGTAGCCAGATGTGGAGGTGCCCTGGGGCAGGACTAGAAGGAGGTCAGAGGATCAGAAGAGCAGAGCAAAGCCAGCGCTGGGGTAAGGCTCAGAGCTGGGTGAGCAGAGTCTTGTTAGTCTGGCATTAGGATGGAATTAGCAGCCGGCCAAGAGGAGGCATCATGCCCACGAGAAACAAAGGCTGGGAAGGTGCCTGTTGGTTAGATTGGGCTGTCATAACAAATGCCACAGACTGGGCAGGGTGTGGTGGCTCACGCCTATAATCCCAGCACTCTGGGAGGCCAAGGTTGGTGGATGCCTTGAAACTGGGAGTTCAAGACCAGCCCGGGCAACATGGCAAAACCCCATCTGTATTAAAAATACAAATATTAGCTGGGCGTGGTGGCAGATGCCTGTAATCCCAACTACTTGGGAGGCTGAGGCAGGAGAATCACTCAAACCCGGGAGGCAGAGGTTGCAGTGAGCCGTGATTGTGCCACTGCACTCCAGCCTGAGTCACAGAGCAAGACTCTGTCTCAAAACAAACAAATACACCAAAAAACAAAAACAAACCAAAAAACCCGAATACCATAGACTGAGTGACTTAAACAGGAGAAATGGATTGTCTCACAGTTCTGGAGGCTGGAATTTCAAGATCAAGGTGTTGGCGGAGTTTGCTTCTTCTGCACCCTTGCTCCCTGGCATGCAGATGGCCATCTCCTCTCTTTGTCCTCTCATGGCCTTTCCTGTGTGCATGAGTGTCCCTGGTGTCTTTTTGTTTGTCCAAATTTCCTCATCTTTTAAGGTCTCCAGTCAGATTGGATCAGGGCCCACCTACATGACCTCAGCTTCCCTTAATGACCTCTTTAAAGGCCATGTCTCTAAATACAGTCACATTCTGAGGTCCTGGAGGTTAGGATTTCAAACATGAATTTGGTGGTGGGGGAGAGAAAATTCAGCTCATAACAGAATGGGAAGAGTAAGACGTTTCTATCAGCCCCAGAAGGCTGTCCCCTCATCCTTCAGGTTGGAAGGTCTGTAATTGCCGACAAGTTCTTCCTGCCCACTGCACAGACAAAATCAATCCACTGAGACTATGGCACTGAGGTAAAGAAAGTTTAATTGATGCCAGACTGGCCATGCCAGGTGGGAGACAGAGCTATTACTCAAATCAATCACTCCAAAGTTTTGGAGATTAGGAGTTTCAAGGATAGTTTGGTGGGCAGGGCACACGGGAATGGCAAATGTTGACTGGTTGGGGAAGAAGTCATAAGGTTTTGGAAAACGGTCCTCAGTTCTGAGTCCACCTCTGGGTGAGGCCACAGGATGGGTTGGGTCAGAAGTCTGGGTGGGGTTAGTCTGAAAGATATCTCAAAAAAAGTCTTAGATTCTATAATAGTGATGTTATCTATAGGAGTAATTGGGGAAGTCACAAATCTCGTGATCTTTGGCCACATGACTCCTGCACAGTAAGGAGTAACTATGCCAACACCTTAGGCAAATTCAAGCCCCTCTCAAAATCCTAACCTTTCTTTAGCTTTAAAAATGTGCTTTTGTTTTAAGAAGGGTTATTATCATCCTTGCTTTAAGGTTAAACTATAAACTAAATTTGTCCCAAATTCAGCTTGGTCTATACCCAGGAATGACCAAGGAGAAATTGGAGGTTAGAAGAAAGATGGAGTCACCTATGTCATATTTCTCTTGCTGTCATAATTTTGCAAAGGTGGTTTCAGGTCAATGTCATACAGACCTTTGGGAGGCATGACAAGTGGGTAGGAATGAGGACACCATCCCCTCAGTGATCAGGAACACAGGTTATCACTTCCAGGCAACAGCCTCTGATAGGATAACATCACCATTTATTTTCAGCTCATTGGGAAGCAGGCTCTTTTAAATGCCCCACTCTTATATACCTATATGTTTAACTCTGAAATCCTTGCATCAGGGGGAGGCCCCCGAGTCCTTTGGCTGCCTGTTCTGTGGCCTTCAGTGCTATTCATGTCTCAGGAGTGGTGCTCAGGGTTCTAGGGCCTGCAAGCCTTAGTCCTGTGTGGCAGCAAAGTCTTTCCTTTTTGGATAAGCCAGATGAAACTGAAACCTGCCAATACAATAACCTTCCTGCAGCCCTCCCTCTGAAAGAAGTCTGATTTTAAATGACTTTGTGAACTATTCAATTAGGATCAGATCTGTATTTTCTTTTGTTTCATCTATCATGTGTGAGTTCTCAAGAACAAGACTCTAAGGCTGTTTAGGAAGCTCTTGCTACTGTGTGGATACCAAGGAGGGAGCTGGGGGATGCAAAGACACATGGAACTTATTCCTGAGAGTCTGGAACTTTCCAGGCTGCTGGCAAGGGATAAAAGGAGGGCTGGCTAAAAGAATAAACTCTTGCCTTTGACTTAAGGGTTTGGCCCTTTTTCAAACGTAAATTACCCCGTTTTCTTTTGTTTCTCTTTTTCTTTTGTTTCCTCTTTTTCTTTTGTTTCCTCTTTTCTTCTTCCCCCTTCAGGTCATGCATTGTTAACCACACAGCGTCTGCATGTTCATGTGACCACCATTACCCTATTAAGCCTGTGAACAAAAGTTCTCTGAAGAGGAATCTGAGGAACGAGACTGTATTCCAATGAACAGTTCGCAAACTGGAGAGACACGGCCTTTGACACGTAGCTTTTGTATGGTGCATTCCAGAGAACAAATAAGGAACTTGGCTTCCATAGAGAGAAATTTGCCACTCAGGTTCCCAGTCAGACTCATTTATGCAGCAGAAGGATTCAAACTTGCTTAGTTCTGATCTGTTGGTGCAGCTCGCTCCTGACTGGTTGATAAAGCTGAGCCCTGATTGGTTGGTTCAGATGAGATCTGAACGTTCCAAAATTAAACAGAGCTGGAAATTTTCAGAAATTCAGAGTACATGTGTGACCTCTAGTCAGCAAGTGGCTTCTTGGCTCTATTTAAAATTTAGGCCCAGTTCGCCACTTGGGATCTGATATAGTTTGGATCTGTGTCCCTGCCCAGATCTCATGTTGAACTGTAATCCCCAGTGGTGGAGGTAGGGCCTGGTGGGAGGTGTGTGGGGGCAGCTCCGTCACAGCTTGGTGCTTTCTTGGTGGTAATGAGTTCTCCTGAGATATGGTCATTGAAAAGAGTGACACCTCCCCTGTCATTCTCTTTCTCCTGCTTTCACCATGCAGCGTGCCTGCTCCGCCTCCGCCTTCTGCTATGATTGTGTCTCAGATCCTCCCCAGAAGCCAAGCAGATACCACCAGCACCGTGCTTCCTGTAGAGCCTGCAGAACAGTGAGCCAATTTAGACCTGTTTTCTTTATAAATTACGCAGTACCAGGTATTTTTTTCTTCCTGTCTTTTTTTTAATTTTTATTTATTTTTTTCATTTTTTATTTTTTTTATTTTTTTAGACGGAGTCTTACTCTGTCGCCCAGGCTGGAGTGCAGTGGCCCAATCTCGGCTCACTGCAAGCTCCGCCTCCCGGGTTCATGCCATTCTCCTGCCTCAGCCTCCCGAGCAGCTGGAACTGCAGGCACCCACCACCACGCCGGGCTAATTTTTTGTAGTTTTAGTAGAGACGGGGTTTCACCGTGTCAGCCAGGGTGGTCTCGATTTCCTGACCTCGTAATCTGCTTGCCTTGGCCTCCCAAAGTGCTGGGATTACAGGCGTGAGCCACCGCGCCTGGCCAATGCAGGGTATTTCTTTATAACAATGCAAGAAAGGCCTAACAAAGGGTTCAGTTTGAAGGGTTGGCTGGCTCTTTCAGTTCACACTTGTTTATAAGCCCTAGCCTAAAAATAGTTTTTGTCTGGCTTTGTTTTGAGCTTAATAAACTTTTTGTTGAAGTAAAACATACATATAGAAAAGTTCACAAGTCATAGGTGTGCAGTTAAACGAGTTTTCACCACGTGAGCACATCCATGTAACTAGCACACAGATCAAGATGTAGAACATTC